CAAAACTGACCAGATGGACAGAAACTGTAATTTCATTGATTTGAATCCAGAAATACAGTTTAGACCCATCCTGAGACTTTCTTTCTTGAATTAATCAAGTGGAAAAAGACAATTCTCTATGATCATTACTATTTTACAAATGTTTGATAATCAAATTGTGTTAGTTCAAACAATGTTTACATGTTGAAGTGAACTACTCATTTTTATTTACTTAAACAGTAGTAATGATTTTTATTCCTCAATTCAAAGTGAAATCAAGTTAGAGTACATTACAGAGTAATGATTCAATTTCTTGATCGTCTGCTTTGAAAATGAGCAAAGTTGTAAGTGTGGTAAAGTTCAAGCTTCGGTCAACTAGAAAGTTTACTGAAAAGAAATGTCATGTTTAACTTTTACAGCAAGATATTTGGTGAGCGACGCCACGAAGTCTGGTTTTTCCATGATATCTTTCTGTCTGTTCTTAAACAATCCTTGACTTTCCATAACACCTTACATCACAAACCACACCTCTGTTCTGGTCCATCCACCAATCAGAGGCTCTCAAACGAACCGGAAGTGGAGCCCATTTAAATATCGGCACTTCCTAGTTCAAAGTAGAGTTCAAGAGTTGTGGAATCCAGAATACAAAGATTTTGGGAGTCCGTGAATGCAACCGCAGGCATTCATGGATGCTGCTAAACCAAACAAGCTGAACCAGAGACGATTTTGGGAATTATAACTTCTGTTTGGATAACCTCGCACGGCTCTCTAGGTATTTGGCTGTTCTCACTGAGACGCTGAACAGTGGTTGGAAGTGAGACTCCACGCCAGAACTGATCTATCTTCAGAAAAGGTAAAAGTCGACCTTCACCGAAAGTGTACTGTTTGGGACAAGCTGAGTTCCGAAGGAGCGTGCACGTTCTGGTTAAAACAGATAAATTCCCTCACACATCTCTCTGTAAGATAAATCTCAATTTTCCATCTTTAAACTCTCCTTTCTGCTAGAAAATTAATCCAGATGTTTTCATTAATGTCTGTGGTGAAGCAACGGAAAACCATGGCCGTATGGTTTCCTGGCTGTAAAACTGATTAATTATGTTGTTGTTTTCATATTCTGCCAAATTAATGTAAATGTGTGATGTGTTAAACTTGATTCTGTTAATAAATGACCCACTCGCTTGGTGAGTCAAAGATAATTAACGTCTCACGTCCACATTTCTGTTGAATTCAACGCACGAACATCACACAGTCCAGAAAGATGAGTGAACCCGTTTAATGTATGAATATATCTCAGCATATGTCATACTACAATATATATATATATATATATATATATACACACATATATATATATACACATATATATATACATATATATATATATATACACATATATATATATATACATATATATATACACATATATATATATATATATACATATATGTATATATATATACACATACGTATATATATACACACATGTGTATATATATATACACATGTGTATATATATACACATATGTATATATATACACATATGTATATATATATATATATATATATATATTTACACACATATGTATATATATACATATATATATATATATACTGTACATAAATCGCGCCTTTTATATTGGCGAGTTATTTTGATGGAATGGTCGATGTCCGACATTTAACTTTATCACTAATATCGACCGATACCATGCCGATAATATTGTGCATCCCTAAAAAAGACAATTTGTAAAAGTTATCCAAGGAAGGAAGGTGTCATTTTTAATGACGTTTTAATGTATTCCATCATTTATTTTATTTCAAATCTGAAAACATGTAAAAACGATTATGTACATTTTTTCACCACTGAAGACAATTACAAAATAAGAGTTTACAAAATTTAAATCATGCAAAATACAATGATATTCAACGATCTTCCCCGAACACAAACGGACAAAACCATTAGGATAAAATAAATACTTTAAAACATGTAGGTGTTAATTACAGTCCCTCAAAACAAACATGAACTCATAAAAATACCTTCAAATGTCTGTTTTGGTCTTTAACTCTGAACATTCAGTTACTGAGGAGAGAAAGTTTAACGTCCGTTTGATTAAAACACGACTTTACTTTAGGTTTAAAATTTTTATAAAAACTTAGGGCATAAAAAACAAAGTGTTTACATGACATTTATAAAGTTTCTCCTGAACAAATGTCAGAGACGTTTTCTGTCAAGTTCTTTTTAAGTTTGTGTTTTAAGATGGCTGCCAATCCAAGAGCAGATTTAAAGTTTCCACATGAATTAATCTTTTAATCTGAACGATCCATCAACTCCAGAGTTATAGAAATCAGATCTACGATAAAAGTCTTAGAGCTGGACTTTTATTAAAATCTTATTTTTATACACAAATATCAGTTGGAAGGTTTGATAGACGTGACAATTTAAACACCAGGACTAAAGTGTTTGAATCCAATCTGGGCCAAAGTTCACCAACAGAACCTGGTTTTGGATTGGACAATAAAGATGTCAAACTTTGTTTTTGTCCACAACCATTAGGTGCTTTTATAATTATTTTACTTCCTGTTCACAGGGTTGGCTGAGTGCTTAGAGCAGTCGTCCTCCAATGCGAGAGTTGGGGGTTTGAATCCACCAGCAGTCACATGTCGAAGTGTTCCTGGACAAGAGGTCAATGACCTGAAGAGAGCTGACACCACTGTTTCCAAGGTTACTGTGGGTAATACACTAAGATGTCATCGTTTAAGATCATGCATGGCCCTGAAGGTTCCCCGGTTTAAATCGGCACGTCCAGGAGAACCAAGGAGCGGCTCCGTAAGAAACATATCAAGGTTCTGGAGTCGGTCTCCAGACATAAACCCTATGGAAAATCTTTGGAGGGAGCTTAAACTCTGTGTTTCTCAGTGACAGCCCAGAAACCTGGCTGATCTAGAGAAGATCTGTGGAGGAATGGACAATATCCTGCTGCAGTGAACCTGGTGAAGGACCACAGGAAACCTTTGACCTCTAACTGCAAACAAAGGCTACTGTACCAAATATTAACATTGATTTTCCACAGGTCTTCAAATAATTATTTGCAGCAGTAACACACAAATTATTAAAAAATAATGTTGTGATTTCCAGATTTTTTTTTAGATCATGTCTCTCACAGTGAACCTGCACCTAAAATGAAAATTTCAGACCCCTCCATGATTTCTAAGTGGGAGAACTTGCAAAGTCGCCGGGTGTTCAAATATTATTTTACTCACTGTAAATACACCAAGTCCATGCTCAATAATCCATGCCCTGGATTATGCCCTGGAGTTAATAATCCAGTCAATAACAAGGTTATATAGTGTCCATTACCATTTACAGGTTCTGTTCAGGTGAAGCCATCTAGTGGCAGAGTCTGAGACTGCAGTCAAATAATGATTTTATAAATATGGACTCATGTGTCTCATGTTTTTAGGAGAAACTTGTGTAGAAATATGGCAGCACAGGTCGGATGGAAGCAGAACAATCTGCAGTTCTCTGATGCAAGTTGTTTGTTTTAATGTCTTAGATTTTAATAAAAGCATCTAGAAAAGTTTCTGTAGAAATGTTCCAAGCGTTTCACTCGACTTCAGTTCAGAAGCTTTAAAACATTTTTAAAACACATCACCACTAAAGTGAATTGTTTGCAAATAAATATTGAGCCAATATTTTCAGTTAAATTTGTTCAATGATTTAGTGTCATAAAAAACAGAGTTACCAAACCTTAAAGAAACAAAAGTTTCTAATAACTGATGATTTTGATCATTTCAGACAGAAAAACACTGATTTAAGTTTGTTTTTTAATAAAACTATCAGCAGGAGGAGTCTCAGAGGCTCATCAAGATCATTTTTAAATTAATTTGTTACTGAAACGTGAACGGTTTACACACATGAACAATTTAAGACATTTTAAAGTTTTAAAGATCAAATCTTCAGTTGTCAGAGAAAATAATTAATTAAATGTAATTAATGCCCAAAAAAACAAGTGTTTAAAGTCCTGATCCAGTTCTACTTTATTACTTTATTGTTTTAAACTTTTATTTGTTCCTTTTGCATTAAATAAATAAAAACCTGTTTTGATTCATTCAGAGTAATACTGAAGATTAATCTGAAGGTCTTTAACTCAGAAACCCCAGAGTGATCTTCAGATTGGCAGATGAAGCTAACAAGCTGTTTGAAGCCTTAATCCTGAGGGATTAAAGATTTGTGGCACAAAGAGCTGGGATTAAACTCAAACTCAGGTTTTTAATCCAGACTTCTTTGTCCTGCAGAGACTTTTCTCAGATTTTCATCACAAACATCAACAGGCAGAGATGCTGCCATCAGAGGAAAAACGAGCAGAACTTCAGTTTCTGTTCAGGATGAAGGTCAGATTAACGATTTATCAGAACCTTTCTGGGTCGGGTCAAAGAAATCAAATCTGACATCATGACGACAAGTGGATTAAATGATGGTTTTCTTGAAGAGGAGCAGCTCTTCTCCTGAAACGCTCAACCTGTTGACTTCATCACTTCCTGTTCCACCTCATTAACTTGGAGGAAACAGGATTTTCACATTAAAAGCCTCTGATTTCATGAAACTACACCAGGGGTTGCTATTCCATCAGATCTGTAGTGTTGTGTTGGCCAGGCTCAATCTTCCTCACGTCAATAAAAACATGATTTTCTGATCGTTTGTCTGCGCAGGAGAACGAACGAAGGGCATGGCTCCCATAATGCATCAGGAGGAGCTTGGCACCTCCTTCACAAACAATAAAAAGTTTCCTTCAGATTTTCAGATCAAACGTCAAAGAAAAAGTTAGAAACATGAAGAATCCTGCAGAGTCTTCAGGTCAGACTAAAGGCTTTAGTTCCACCTAACAACACGAACAGAACGTCAGAGAACCTCAGGTCAGGAGGAGGAGAATGAAGAGGAGAACTCCGGGTCAGGAGGAGAACCAAAGGTCAGGAGGAGAACGAGGAGTACTCCGGATCAGGAGGAGAACGAGGCAAGCTTGGGGTTAGGTGGAGGAGAACTTTGGGTCAAGAAGAGGATAACCTCAGGTCAGGAGGAGGAAAACAAGGAGAACTCCGTCCGGATCAGGAGGAGGAGAACCTGAGGTTAGGAGGAGTTCTCTTGCAGATCTTTGGCTTTGGTCAGGATCAGGTGGACGTCTGAGATCGGATAATCCTGCAGAGGAAAGAAGAAAACAATTTCAGAGAAACTAGAGAACCAAAGAGCAGCTGTGTGGTTCTGACCCCACGCACCTGCAGTAACCTCATGTTCACGGTGAAATCTCCTGACAGCAGGTTGTCCCGGATGAGTCTGAACATAAACACAAACAGAATCAGATGGTACCGGTACAGTTCTCGCACCTGGTAATAAACCAACACTGTTTTGTAATCCGTTTGTACCTCCAGGCTCCCATAGCAACTCTTAGGCAGAACCAGGATCAGCAACACCTGAGTCCTTCAGAACTCACCTAAAGGTTCATTTTGATTCTTTGGTTTTTAGCCACATTTTTTAATCTAACTGGATTTTATTATTGAGCTTTTTGTTTATTTTGAATAACCTTGAACCTTTTATGTGGACAACCACTGGTGGTTCTGTTTCTGAAAACACTTTCTGTGCTGCATTTCATATAAGTTTACACATTTATAATGTAGTTTGTGAGGTGGGGGTGATACTTTCTTCTCACTTTCACAGACTACATATATGGCATACACACCGTGAGAGGCATTACACAAATCTTATATCAATATTTCAATATTTGAACAGATTTTTAAGCTATATTTGAGATCCATCATTATTTTCCTTTGTCTTGCAGAGTAATGCATCAGAGAGCAGTGACTTAGATGATCCTGTGGATAATTTTACAACTTCAATGCAAACTTCACTCAAAAAAAACTGCTCCGCTGAAAAAGAAAGTAATAAATCAGAGGGGATTAGCTCCTTGGTTCAATTCTTGAGTTACACACTTTAAAACAGGCATTTAGAAAAATGGAAAGAAAATGGAGCGCTACTAACGTTGAAGAATTTTATTTATCTTGAGGAGATAGTCTGCTAACACATAAGAAAGCTCTCTGTAAAGCTAGAACTTTATTTTATTCATCTTTAATAATAGATGAGAATAAAAATAACCCTAGGTTCTGTTCAGCACTATAGAGAATGAAAAGTCCCATTTCTGTTGAACCATGTATCCCTACAACTATAAGTAGTGATGACTTCATGAGATTCTTTATAAATGAAATTATTTCAATTACAGGGAAAACTCAAACCAGCATTCCTAATATTACCCGATTCCCTGTCGGATGATGCAGCTTTAGAAATATTACTAGAGCCTGATTTATGTTTGGACAGTTTTTGTCCTGTTGAGCTCTGAATTGTCAAAAATAATAACCTCATCCAAACCATCCACATGCCTGCTAGATCCCATCCCAACCAGACTGTTTAAAGAGGTATTCCCCCTAATTAATGTCCACATTTTGGATCTACTTAATTTGTCTTTAATGGATGGTTATGTACCACAGCGTTTTAAGGTTGCTGTAATTAAACCTTTACTTAAGAAGTCTGACCTTGATTCAGAAATTCTGGCCAACTATAGACCTATATCTAATCTAACTTTCATCTCAAAAATTCTAAAGAAAATAGTTGCAGGTCAGTTGCGTGAACATCTACTGTAGTGAACCGAACCTAAGGTCAAAACCCTTGACCTTAAGAACCTTGTGGGACAGAAACTGTCATTTCATTGATCTGCATCCAGAAATACAGTTTGACCCATCCTGAGACTTTCTTTCTTGAATTAATCAAGTAGAAAAGACAATTCTCTATGATCATTACTATTTTACAAATGTTTTGATAATCAAATTGTGTTAGTTCAAACAATGTTTACAGGTTGAAGAGAACTACTCATTTTTATTTACATAAACAGTAAGTAATGATTTTTATTCCTCATTCAAAGAAGAAATCAGGGTAATATGCATTTCTTGATTTTTCTGTCTTCAATGAGCAAGTTTGTAAGTGTGTGTTAAAGTTCAGGTTTCGGTCAACTAAAAAGTTTACTGAAAAGAAATGTCATGTTTAACTTTTACAGAAGATACAGGAGAGTTTGACTCCACGAAGTCTGGTTTTCTCCAATAATCTGTCTGTCTGTTTTAAACAATCCTAATCTCTATCCTTGACTTTCATAACACCTTACATCACAAACCACACCTCTGTTCTGGTCCATCCACCAATTAGAAAGCTCTCAAATGAACCGGAAGTCGGCCCATTTAAATGTGGCAACTTCCCAGTTCAAAGCTCTCTGATGCAGCTCATGGAGAAGTGTCAAAAAAAGGTCTGATGTCTGTGTCGAGTCTCTGTCGAAGAGAGACGCGACGAGATGAAAAGAGCTTAAAGGAGTAGAGCTCTGAAGGAGTTCAGAGTTCTTGAATCCAGAATGCAGGGACGATTTTGGGAATTATAACTTCTGTTTGGATAACCTCGCACGACTCTCGAAGTATTTTAGCTGTTCTCAACGGAGACGCTGAAAGAGTCAAAAGAAGGACTTCACGCCGACCTGATCTATCATCAACCAGGTAAAAGTTCTATTTCAACCAAGCGTACCGTGGCCAAGCTGAGATCTGAAGGAGCGTGCCCGTTCTGGCCAAACAGATAAATTCCCTCACACATCTCTCTGTAAGATAAATCTCCATTTTCCATCTTTAAACTCTCCTTTCTCCTAAAATCATTACAGATATTTTTAGAAATGTCTGAAGCAAAGTTCTCAATCACCGCCGTGTGATTGATGTCTGCTGTTCTGCTGAAAAGTGAGGATAATCTCCGTATTGTTCCCACTTCCTGTGAAACTAGCCATGTTATTGTTTTCATATTTTGCCAAATTAATGTAAATGTTTGATGTTAAACTTTGATTCTGTAAATAAATGACCGCATTCATTTTGATGGGTCAAAGATAAATAACGTCTCTCGTTTACCTTTCTGTTAAACTCGATGCACGCATGTTACACAGTCAGAAAAATGAAGAACCCGTCTTAATGTATGAATATATCCAGTATATGTCATACTACACTACAAAGAAATAATCTGTTTGAAGAGTTTCAGTCAGGGTTTAGAGTTCATCATAGCACAGAAACAGCACTAGTAAAAGTAACTAATGATATTCTCATGGCCTCAGACAATGGACTTGTGTCTCTACTGGTCCTGTTAGACCTCAGTGCTGCATTTGATACAGTTGATCACAATATTTTACTACAGAGACTTGAATATGATATTGGGATTACAGGAACAGCTCAAAAATGGTTTAAATCATATCTATCTGATAGATTCCAGTTTGTAAATGTAAATAATGAATAAACTTCTTTAAAACACCAAAGTTAGTCATGGAGTTCCTCAGGGTTCAGTACTTGGACCAATACTCTTTACTTTATATATGCTTCCATTAGGTAAAGTTATTAAACAGCATGGGATAAATTTTCATTGTTTTGCTGATGACACACAATTATATTTGTCCATTAAACCCAATGAATCCAATCAGTTACATAGTGGTAAGTTATAATCATGTCTTAAAGACATAAAAACTTGGATGACCCTTAATTTTCTGCTTTTAAACTCAGACAAGTTGTAGTTTTTGGACCTGAACATCTTAGGAATACATTTTGCAGTCTTTCACTTTCACTGGATGACATTAATTTGGCCTCCAGTTCAAAAGTTAAAAACCTTGGTGTTACTTTTGATCAGGATATGTCTTTTAACCCCCACATTAAAACTGTTAACAAAACTGCTTTCTTCCACCTGCGTAATATCACTAATCTTGTCCAAAAATGATGCAGAAAAACTGGTTCATGAATATGACGTCTAGGCTGGACTATTGCAACTGTTTACTATCTAGGTGTCCATAAACTTCTTTAAAATGTTTTCAGGTGATCCAAAATGCTGCTGCCAGAGTTTTAATGGGAGTTGATTGAAGAGTTCATATTTCTCCAGTTTTAGCTTCTCTCCATTGGCTCCCTGTCAAATTCAGAATTTAATTCAAAATCTTCCTTATAGGGCAGGACGGTGGCACAACTGGTAGAGCTGCTGCCTCTCAACGAGCAGGTCCCCGGTTCCAAAATGGAAGAAGCGGGTAAAAGATAATGGATGGATGGATCTTCCTTCTAACCTACAAAGCTCTCAACAACCTAGCTCCATCTTATATGACAGATCTTATTGTTCTATATTTTCCTAACAGAGCACTTCGCACTTGGACTGAAGGTTTACTTGTGGTTCCTAGAGTTTCCAAAACCAGAATGGGAGGCAGAGTTTTCAGTTATCAGGCTCATCTCTTGTGGAACCAACTTCCAGTTTCTGTTCGTGAGGCTGACACAGAATGGGCAACTTTCCTTTTTGATAAATCCTATAGTTGGGGTTGGCTTGGGTTTCCTATCCCTTAGCTACAGTGAGGAAAATAAGTATTTGAACACCTTACAACTTTGCAAGTTCTCCCACTTAGAAATCATGGAGGGGTCTGAAATTTTCATCTTAGGTGCATGTTGACTGTGCAAACACACACACACTATCACACACGCTCACATTCTCACACATTACACACACACGCACATACATATACACACACGAAGGCACATACACACTCGCATGTAGTTGCACTCACACACACACACACACACTCAAGCACACACACGCATGCACATACACACAGGCACACACACACGGGCAGGAGACAGGCAGAGAGGAACGGAGGAATGAAACCAAAACTGTTATGAATTGATGATTTACAAACAAATCAAGTAAAAATAATCAAGTGATACTATAATCTTTTGTGATTTTAAAATGTATTTTGTTTTAAGTTTGTTCATGATGTTGAGAATTTAGGAAGTGAACTGTTTTCCCAGAAATGATGTTCAGTTGTACAAAAAGAGTTACTCAAAAAGAGATGTTTCACAATGGCAGACCCTAAAAACAGCTCCAAGCAAAAAGACAATATCCTAATAAGGCAAACAAAAGAGAAAAATAACTCAGAGTTGACTCATACATGTCTGGACAAGACCGGACAGAATAAGTTACACCCAGATTTTAATATGTATAAGAAGTGATGTGACCATATCCATAGACATGCATGAAATCCTGAGCCAGGTCCAGCCCAAACAAGGTTGGATTAAGCGGGAGGCATGGTCCTTTGGAAGTGTCAGTCAAAACCTCGCCCTACAAATACAGATGATTCTGTGAAACCGGGGCTGTTGGACCACCGAAGTGTGTGGATTATAGGACAAGTCTTGGACGGTTCCAGCTGAGTAAGAACGAGGGCAGGATCTGATGGAAAAGGCTTCCTT